ATACAGTAGGCTTACGGGGTTAAGATTATGAAAAACATAATTTAAGGCAAGCATGTCCAAATGTTTAAGCGGTGCAGTATGCCTTTGGCCACTAATGACCTACACCCTTCAGAGTGCTCACTTCAACCGCCCTAAAGACGGAGTAAATGCATATTTAAATGCAAAAAGCAATGCAGCATGATAAGTGGGAAAGGGATGTCGCGAAACCGTGCGGACGTGGAACGAGTTCGTACCTTTATAAAGTCAGTGAGCGTGTTGTATATATGAGCTCCTTTAGGCATGAAGAAACAGCTGCCAGGACTGACATCATGAAAGAAGAAGAGCTCCTGCGCCTGAGACAAGAACAACATCAGAGCCAGCTGGAAATATCAAAACAGTGCTCGGGTTTATGTTGCTCTGGCTCTTATGACACTCATCTCGGGCTCATACTGACACACAGCGGCATGAACGTAACGTGCAAATGCCATTGTACAAAAGCAAGATGAAAATGCTCATTTATGAATCGAGACTATTTGGACTTCATATGTTCATGCTGTCGCGAGCCTCACACAGTAAAGCGGTCATTAAAGCAATAAGCCCCAAGAAGCCGTGGTTTACAGTGAATTTATAACAGCTAAGGAGCGTTATTTACTCTACAAACATACACCTTTGTTTACGTTTGTGTGTTACTCGGCAACCACTTTGTTGCAACTACAACTGTTTCTGAGGAACTACATTGTTTGGTGGAAGAATACAAAGGTGTATGTTACTTTGTAGAGTAATTTACAACAGCTTGGAACGCGGCTCAGCCAATCAGAATCAAGCACCGGAACTCTCCGGTTTATAATCAGAGGTTACTACTGCAGGAGGATCTGCTGGCATTCACCTTCCCGATTCTCCTGTGGTCTCTCGTTCTGGCCTCCTCCTGGTCTTTCTCCCATTCCTCTCGCTCTCTCTCTCCTGGAAACGCGATGCCGATCATCCTGAGGATACCTGACGGCTCTGTTGAACCGGACAGAGTTACAGGAGACACCTGAGAGAGCGACAGACAGCAGAAAATGTCAGTGACATTCAAGCAGGCATGAGGAGGCTAAGAGCATCATTTTTGAATTTGATGTGGACACAATCTGAGCTTTGGCAGATGATAAGACTATTGCATGTTTTTGTTTTTTTTATTCAGGAAGGATGCATTCAATTGATCAAATGTGACAGGAAAGACATTTATAATCTTAGAAAAGACTTCTAATCTATCTATCTAAAATTATTTCAACATTTCTAATTTCTGTGCTTACGTTAACTTATACAAAAAATATCAAAGTAAAAATACAAAATAATAAAGGAGATAAGCATTACTTCAACTTGAAAACTTAAAATAGAAAAAAATATTTTTTAATAAACGTTGTTCTTTTTAACTTTATTCATCGAATAATCCTGAAAAAAGTATCACAGGTCCAAAAAAAATTATATATGAAGCAGCACAACAGTTCCCAACTGATATTGAATCAGCATATTAGAATGATTTCTGAAGATCATGTGACACTGAAGACTGGAGTAATGATGCTGAAAATTCAGCTGCGCATCACAGAAATAAATTATATTTTAAATTATATTAAAATAGAAAACCAGTATTTTAAATGATATTATTTTTTAATATTACAGTTTTTTCTGTATTTTTGGTCAAACAAATGCAGCCATGATGAACAGAAGAGACTTCTTTAAAACACATTAAAAATCCTACTGATCCCAAACTTTTGAACAGCAGTGTGTGTGTGTGTGTATATATATGTATATAGTATATATATATATGTCATTAAGCAGAAAGAAGCTGCATGAAGATTTACAAACTATTGTGGCATATAAACAAAGGCACTATGTAAAGCTTAATCATCACATTAATGTAAGAATGCATCAGCATCAACATCATGATCTGAACTCTCATTTAAACAAAACCAGAAATGCTGTGAACTGCTCAGAGGAAACAAAGAGGACTGAAAACAAAATGTTCCATAAATAAAACTGAACTAAGTCCCGTGTCACAACCCTAAAGAGAGAACGGCAGCCTGTGGAAAGAGAAGGGAAAGTGTGAAACAGGAAGAGGAAGAGATATTAATGCAATCAACAGGAAGCTGCTATGGAAACCACGCAACAACAGTGCAAACACTGTTCCTACAACAACAGAAGAGCGGGATCGAGTGTCCTCTGTCACGCTATTCAAGCTCAAACACATTCAGTTAAACACACAAGAAGAGTGAGAGTTACCTGGAGCATCTTAAAGGCCTTGAGGAAGCCCGTGTGTGGCAGAAGAACCCCTGAACACACACCCACACTGTCTCCACACCTGAGAGAGACACACACACACACACACACATCAGACACCAAACACACACCATCTGCTT